TGAGGTGGGATGGGACAGGCAGCACGGGCACCTGGGCTGTAGACAAGGGGCTCCTCCGGGGCAGGCAGGGCTGCAGCGGGCAGCTAAGTTGGAGAGCAGTGCTGGGGCTGCCCCTGCCAGCGCGGTCGCTGATGTGGTCTCTGCCCTCCAGGGGCTTCCACCACAACCTCAGCTGGGATGCCCGGGGCCTGGGCTTCGCGGCTGGGGTGCTCCCTGCTCCGCCACCCCTCCCTGGCTGCCTCCAGCCTGTCCCCCGGGCAGCAGCTGCCGTGCCCCGGGGCCAGCCTACGCTCCTGCCTCCTGTTCTGGAGGCTGTGTGTAATGACAGCGTCCCTGGGCTGCCAGGTGTCTCCAACTTCACCGTCTACCTCTACTGTAACCTCTTCAACAGCTCCCGGGGCTCCAGCCAGCACCCGGGGGACTTGGGTGCTGCCTGCTCCAGCGCAGACTGGTACCTCTCTGCGGGCGAGGGGGGCTCTGCATGGGCCCGGGCCTGCCGGGAGCACTACCCTGCCCAGTTCAACAGTACCGTCTGCAGCAACACCTCCTTGAGGGAGACCCCCGGGCCCCAGCAGGTCCTGCTGGAGCAGCTCTGTGCTGACCTGGCCTGGGGCCTGGCGGGGGCCCAGCCCTCCAGCCGCAGCACCTGCCCACTGGGTGTGCGCTGGGAGGATGCCTGGAGCTGCTTCCTGGGAAGCCGCATGCTCTGGGGCGCCTGGCTCTGTGGCAGCAGAAGCCGTGAGTTGCTGCCCACTGATCTCTGGGCCTGGCTCTCCCAGCTGTGTGGTGGTCCCCAGCCCCAGACACAGATGCCCAGTGCCTCAGAGCCTGGGGGTGCAGACCCCTGCTCCTTCAGGGGCCGGAGCCTGTGGGCACAGGGGAACGCTGGCCTCTTGGAGTTGTGCAGGACTGCAAGTCCCAGTTGCTTCCAGGAGCTGGTGTGCACCAACACCTCCCTCCTGCGGCTGCTGGGGCATCCCCAGCCTGTGATTGGGGTGCGCTGCCAGGGTGCCCTGCCCTGGGGACGCTGTCTGCTGCAGCAGCTCCTGGCGCTCCTGCCCCTGCCCCCCAGGCTGGATGCTGCAGACCTCTGCCCGGACCCGGCCGCCTACCTGCTGGGGCTAGCCTCACAGCTCCCGCGATGCCTGGAAGAGGTTCCAGGCTGGGCCCCCCATGTGAACTACCTCCTGCGCCTGCTTGACCGCAGCCTGGCCCTCTCCAGACAAGAGGAGGCTGGGCAGGCGGCCGGGGAGCAGCTGAGCGAGGCCATCCTCCTCTCCAGCCTCCTGGACAATACCTCCTTCTGGGACTTGCTCAGGGCGAATGCGTCCACAGACATCCTGCGAGCCGTGGGCCAGTACCTGCGGTGGGAGCACAGGGCCTCGGCCAAGAGGGAGCTGCTGAGCTGCTTTAGTGTGAGTTGGGCAGTGCTGGGGTGGCGAGTGAGGACCTTCCTGGGTGTGGGGCAGCGGTTGGGGTGCCAGACCCCGGGAGCCCTCCTGCTGGCTGCAGGGTCCGGCCAGGGTGTGGGCCCCAGGCCTGGGGTCCCTGTCCAGTACGAGCCGTGGTGGGAGCAGGACCAGCACACATGCTCTGCTCAGCCACCAGTGGCTGGGAATGGCCAGTCCTGGATTGGGGTGTCAGGGCTGTGGCTTGGGGCAAAGCCACCCTGCTTGCCCCTGGGTCAGCTTCCCTGCAGCAAGGCTACCCCAGACCCACTGTGGGGCACTGGGCAAGGAGCTGTGGGGGAAGGTCTTGGGCCAGGACTGGGAGTACAGTTCTCCTCCCTCCTGCAGGCTGTGCTCTGGGACCTGCTCCAGGACAGCGAGGGTGCTCCCGCCTTGGAGATCCTGGTGCAGGTACTGCCTGCCCCGGTCGGGTTGGCTCCCGGCCTGCCCAGAATGCTGCGGAGTACAGGGCTTGCTTGCTCCCTGCGCTCCCGTGGCCTGGGTCCCTGCCTCCGGCTGTGCTGAGCTATGGCCTCTCCACAGGAATATCTGCAGATGCCAGAGGAGAGCTTCCAGGGGCTGCTGCTCGCGGTGGGGCCTGAGGCTGTGCAGCACTTCCTGGCCCTGCTGCACCGCTCCTGGCACCGGCTGCGTGGGGAGGTGGTTAGAGGGGTTGGGACGGGGCAGGGTGTGCAGAACCCATGTGCGGTGGTTGCAGAGCCAGTGTGATGGGGGGGAAGAGCCTGCGTGTGGGGGGTGCACAGCATGTGGGGGGTATGACCCCCACACATGGGGGCACAGACACTGCACAGGGCAGGTGCAGAGTCTGTGCTCACCGGAGTTCAGAGCTCCCACGTGTGAGGGGTTGCAGAGCCCTGGTGCAGGGGTGCAGAGCCCATGGATGGGGTGTGTGTGTGCAGAGCCCAGGCGCAGGGGTGCAGAGCCTGTACCAGGGGGTGCTCTCCTGGGGCACAGCTGGGCAGCACTGGGCCTGCGCTGGTTGCTTGGGGCTGTGTCCTGCCAGAGCTGGGGCTCACACAGCTTTGCAGGTGCCGTCACCCCTGCCCGGGGAGGAGGCGATGCAGTCGCTGGCCGTGCTGCTGCTTCGCAGGTTGCCCCATCTCACCCCACAGCTGTTTGTCAGTCTGTCACAGTTCATCCCCTTCATGGCCGTGTCCGACATTGCGAGGCTCCCGCCGTCCCTCCTGGCCAACAAGAGTGTGTAAGCAGCGCTGGGTGCCGGGGCTGCCTGCGCACGTGGTGTGGCCGGCTCTGGCCTGTGCCCTGCATTGCTATCACCTGCAGAGCCCCAGCCCAAGCAGGCCATGCGACAGCCATGCAGAAGGCCTCTAAGTGCCCCTGGGTGCTGGGTTCTGTGGGGCACGTGCTTGGTGATGGTCTCTGGGGTGCCCTTTGAGGTGGGTGTAGGCTTGGTGCGGGCCTGGGAGGTCTCTCCACAGCTGTGCCCTGGTGCTCTGTCCCCACAGCCTCGCTGCCCTGCGGACTCACAGTGCCCACCTGACGCAGGGGCAGAAGGCCGCCTTTGCTAGGCACCTGCTGCAGGCCCCCTTCCTCGGGGCTGTGCCTACATGGCCCCTCGGCTTCCTCCGTGCTGTCCTGCCGCTGCTGCCCCACTTGCCGCTGCGCTGCTTCCTGCAGCTCACGCCCCAGCAGGTGGGATGCGAGCCCCGGGCCCACGTGCAGGCTGCTCTGCCCAGCCAGCACGCCCTCACCCCGTGGCAGGTGGGGATCCCAACCCTGCACCCAGTGAGCTGGGACCCCTGCGCCCCCGGCCTGACAACGGCAGGCGGGCCTCCCTGCACCCCCGAGCTGGGAATCCCACCCTGCCCAACCCTGCACTCCTGATCCTGCACCCCCCCCGGCTGGGAACCCTACATGCCCTTCCTTGGCCCCTCACGCTGAACCCACAGCCCTGGCGGGGAGCCCCAGGTCTGGTCAGGAGGCCTGAGCCAAGTCTCCCCTTTTGCCTGCCCAGATCTGGGGGCTGGGTGACGGCTGGCAGCCGCTGCGGCTGGGGCTGGTGCAGGGCCGCCACGTAGCAAGCAGCCTGGTGAACAGGAGCCGTGCGGCTGGCCCTGAGCTGGGGCGCAGGTGAGTGTGACAGGAGCTGCCAGTGCCGGCACAGCCATGTCCCAAGCTGGGCTGGTGCGGGGCCTTGGTCCTGCTGCAAGGGCCAGGATGGGTGCTGGCAGGGCTGCCCTTGCCTGCTAACAGGCTTTTTCCATACAGGCTAGGGGCCCTTGCCTGCTTCCTGAGCCCCGAGGAGCTGCAGGACCTGGCATGGCTGCAGGACCCCCGGGGGGCAGTAGAGAAGAGCCTGCTGGCATGTGCGGCAGCAGGGACCCTACGGCAGCACGGGCGGGTGAGCCGGCCCCCTGGGAGGGATGCGTGGGCTGTGCTAGGCCACCCCCAGGGGCACCTCGTGGATGGGTACGCTGCGGAGCTCGGCTCCCACGCCCTTGCTCTCTGGGGGAGCCTGGCCACAATGTGCCAGCATGAGTAAGGGTGCCAGGGCAGCAGCTCCTGGTCAGGCAGCACATCAGCTCCATTTTTTCCCCTGCCGGCTCCTCCTGTGACAGGGAGTGGGGCAAGCTGTCCACCAGCCCCGGGCTCACAGCCTCTCCTGCTCCGCGCCGGCAGGTCATGCTCGCCCTGGCAGACTTGCTGCGCTCTACCAACCTGGCCATGGTGAGCCCCAGGGAGCTGCCAGCATGGAGGGGCGTCCTCCCTGAGATGGGAGTGGGCTTTGTGGAGCGCCTGTCAGCTGCCCAGCTGAACACCCTCCTGCCCCAGCTGCGGCCGACACAGCTGACGCGTGCCCAGGTGAGTCCAGCCTGGCTGCACGTACCCTGGGCAGGGGGGCCCCCGGGCCCAGGGCACCGTCAGAGACTCCAGCACAGCGCAGCCGGGCAGCCTCTGAGCCTTGCCCCCTGCTCCTGCCGGGGCTGTGCCAGCCCCGCTGACCACCACTGCCTTGTCCTGCCCCCCAGGCATCCTTCCTTCTTGCACGGGCTGTCCAGAGGGACAACGTGAGTGTCTGAGGTGCCTCTGCAGGAAAGGGACGGGCTGCGGGTGCTGTGCCCTTGCCCAGATCTTGCACCCCCACGCCTGCGCGGGCTGCCAGCCATCCCAGTCCCTCTGCTGTCACAGGGACACCCTATGCAAGGTGCAGCCCTGCTGCGGCATGGCTGCCCGAGTGAGGCCAGTATGTTTCTCTGCAGGTGACGGTGGGGGAAGCAGCCAGGCTGTGTCCCCTGCTGCCAGGCCTGGGACCCACGTCACTGGCTGCTGTCCTGGCCCCTCTCCAGGTCCAAGGCTGTGCATGCCTAGGGCCAGCCCTACCCCTGCTCTCGGCGGCGCAGACGGCATCCCTGCTGCAGGCTCTGCAGCCCCCAGACAGCTGGCTCCACTGCCTGCTGCCCCTGCTGCCCCTCCAGCTCCTGCGTCCCAGTGCCCAGGCTCTGTGGGGGGCTCCATGGGACCCGAACCTACCCTGGTCCCCGCAGCAGGTCAGAGGCCAGGCACAGGGCTCCGGGGGAAGGTGCTGCACCCCCGTGCCTCCCACCGCTGCCCCCCCAACAGGCCCAGCTCCTCTGGAGGGAGGTGGGAGCCAGCGCTAACCACAGCCACCGCACTGCTGGGTGAGAGCAGCCCGCCCGGGCTGGCCGACTGGCGCCAGCTGGGGCACGGGGATGGGGGGTGTCTGGGAGCAGCCTCTGGGGCCCCACAGAGGGAAGGGAGCTGGGAGAGGGCTGGGTGCCCGGGCAGGGTTGAGCAGGTCCCCGTGGGCCTGGGGGTGGTGAAGCCCAGATAGGGTCTAATGCTGTTGTCCTGCAGTGCCCTGGGTTCACTGGTGGTGGGCATAAGCTGTGCTGCGCTGCAGGAGCTGGGCCGGGAGGATTTCCTGGGGGCTGTCTGGACCCTCTACGCGCAGCCCCGCTCTCTGCCTGCCAGCCTGGTAAGGAGGAGGCTCCATGACCCCAGTGGCTCATGGGCAGCCTGTCCCTGTCCTGCACTCAAAGCACGGTGTCCCCAGAGGCGTTGCGTGCAGGAGGAGGTGCTCAGGCGTCCTGCGCTCTCTGAGGAGGAGCTGGCATGGCTGGGACCTCAGTTCCTCATGGAGTTACCGTAGGTGTCGGGAGCAGCCAGCTCTGGGATGCAGGGACACGGGCCACCCCTTCTGCTTCCACTGCCCCCTTTCCCTGTGGGGAAAAGCATTGCCTGCTGGCCTACAGCCCCCTCCTTGGGCCCATCACCCTCCTTGTGTCTCCAAGGGGCTAGCGAGCCCCTGCCCTGCTGCCCGTGAGTGTGGAGCGGGGACTGATGGCAGGAGCCCAGTCCTGGCCATCCCTGGGGGCAGCCCTGGCGCCAGCCCCTGCCCAGTGCCTGGGCACCCCTGCTGTGAGAGGGGGTCTGCAGGATGAGGCTCGGTGCCTCATTCATCCCTCGGCAGAGCAGCACCTCGCCCTGCAGTGCCCAGCCGTGCTCTGGCTCCTGCAGGGTGAGGATGGTGGAGATGCTGCCTGACACCATGATGCGGCTGGTGCTGGACCACGCGACGCGCCAGCCCCACAGCCTGCTGGCCCTGCCGGCCACCCGCCGGGCAGCCCTGGCCCGTGCGGCCCTGCGCTCCCTGGTAAGGGGAGGGAGCCCCGCAGGGGGCATGGGGAGACACAGTTGCCTGCTCTCACTCCACTCCTCTGCTCTCCCCCCTGCAGCGGCTCCCGGCAGGGACAGAGCTGGCTGGGGAGGACCTGGACCGGCTGGGCCCGCTGGTGGGGTTCCTAGGCCGGGAGAGCGTGGCCCGTGTCCAGCCCGAGAGCCTGCTGCCACGGCTGGGGGACCTGCAGGACACCTGCCTGGCCGCAGAGGCGGCCCCCCGA